GGTCGTCCCTTTATTTCACGCGCCCAGCACACATCGGCAGTAGCAGCACCTACCTCGACGCTCCCACCCACCACCAACGCTGGTGCAGAGAGCCTCGGCCAGGCACATTTTCAGATCAGCACAACGACCCGCGGTTGCACAGCAGCTTCTTGACCACAAATACATGATCCTCACGCTTGGAGCTCAGATCTCAAGGCCCACATAAGCCGATCCCCGACGCCCGAAAGCTCACACACAATGGCGGCGCCTTCTCGTTCATCCGATTCCTCTCGCAAGAGGCGGCGCAGAAGACAGGACAAGTCGGCCATCTCGGCTCGTCTTGTCCTTGACGGCCACGTCAAGGGCGATGTTGGAATCCTCTCGGATGACCTCTTTGCGGATCTGTTCCCCCATCTGCGCGAAGGTATGTGAATCCCGCTTCTTTGTCTCCTCCCTAGAGACAACCCGCAGCTGACCCACGAGCCCGTCCAGACGAGGTTGCCGACGCCGATAGCGCAGACATCCCCGACGTATACCATGTCGCAATCGCCCCGTGGACACCCACTTCAAGTCCGCAGCACTCAAACTGGACAATTGTCCCCATAGTCAAGTCCTCAGCTCTGTCACACTCAACCGTTCAGTTCTCGCCGTCTTCGCTGGCCCTGCAGAGCTTCGCGACCACACTCCAGCGCATCGCGCCCTCGAAACTTTCCAGCCATAGCCGTAGTGGCATCGAGGTCTATGTTCTTGACGTGACTGCTCTTGCTCTCGACACAGTCTTTGTCAGTCTTGAAAGTGACCTGGTCAAGCGCATGGAAAACGGCGAGGGCACCTTTTTCAGCGAGCACCCTCCCAAAAGTCTTGACGTTGTCGCTTCCGGCACCCCTGCAGATCGGCTGGCCGCGGCCCTGCGCGTGGCTCTCGGCACTTTGAAGGTCGTACACAACGGAGACATGTTCCCGCTGCCATTGGCGCCGCATTCCGTCACGCACGCCCCTCCGACCCCAGGCGTCGTCTCACTCTGTGAGCCAGTCGCCCAAGGTATCCTGGCTCCAACAACAAAGATTGTGTTGACCAGAGGAGGCACCCAGACCAAGAAGGACCGGGCTGCGCGGGCACTTCGGAATGGTGCGCGGCAGGATGACGAGGATACTGCGAATGACCAATTTTACTCGGCCGCCGAGGAAGGATCGAGAACTGACGCACCCACCGACACTGGCGATGATGCGACTGAAACGGAGACGGAATTGTCGGACCTCGAGGAGGAGGAGGATCTGTCGGACGATTCGCTGGACGACATGATCTCCTTACAGGTCCCTACTCTACCGACGACCAATGTGAGCGGTCTGTCCACCATGCAGCCAGGCACCCCAATGACACTTGGTCGTGGGAGGAAAACCAATGGAATTTCCACGCCAGGCTCGGTATTCTCAAGCTTCACTGCAATGACTGCGAGAGCAGATCGGCCGAAAGGACGTCTTTTCAAGGCTCAAGGGCTCATGGCTCCCATCCCTGGGGACTTGTTGCATCCGAAGCCTACCGGGGGAGACGATGAGGAGGCCCGCATATATGTCGATATAAGCTCCCTGACACGCATAGGATGCTTTTCAGGGGACTGGGTTCGCGTTGAGGCCTCTGAGGAGCCCCCCGCAAATGGCAGTGGCTTGTTTGGACTTGGGAGCTTCATTCACTCTGATGCTGAAGAGTCTGTAAGCCGACCAGCCAAAGTGTACGGCCTACCGGAGGGATACTCTCACCGGCAGGTGACAAGGATACCCAGTGCGAAATACGACAATGCTGCTCGCAGGCCGTCATTCTTTGAGTCCCAGATCCAGAAACCCTCTGGCCTGACAGCATATATGTCGCCCTTGCTCATTGCCAATTTAGAGAACACTCCTTATGTGCGTCTTGCCCCACTGAAGAGGCTCGCATACCCTCGGCCGGGACAAGCGAAGATCACGGGCGCGTCTCACCCACCGTATGCTCGGGAAGTCACCATTGAACAAATTCGCACCCCACTGTCGTCAGAGAAGGCATTGCAGACGGCCATTCTCGGAGGCTTGAAAAGCCACTTTGCAAAAAGCATACGAGTAGTAAAGACAGGCGACATTGTGGCTATCCCCATTGACACACAACTGGGCCGCACTGTACAGGATACGTCAGCTTCCAACAACGGCCTTGATGTCGATGACATTATCGCGCTCGAGGCCTCTAGCCGGGTTCAAACGGGCAGCAAAGCGAGACCAGACGGCGTCGCCTGGTTCAGGATATCTCACATCGTACGGCAACGCTCCGAGGCGACCGATGATGCAGACGAGGAAGAAGACGTCTGGGGAGGAGTGGCATGTGTCGACACTAGTACGACCCAAATTGCGCAGTCTGGTAGTGGTACCAGTATCCTGCCAGGTACAAAAGACAGCAGCTGGCCATGTTATCTTGGCATCCAAGAAGCTCCTCAGCCCGGGCAAAACGCTCTCACCTCGGCAGTCCAGCAGCCTACGCGAAGCTTTGTCTCGCCGCTACGGCGCAGGCTTCGCGAGCTGATGGCCGCGGCCACAAGTCAGAGAGCGATCCACTTGAACATGCCTCCAGTGGCGATTCTGCTCGTCTCGACGCAACGACACATTGGAAAAGCCACAGCCGCAACGCTAGCTTGCTCAGACATCGGTCTACACACTTTCTCTATCGACGCTTACGACATCGTGAATGAGGGCGGTGCTGGTGGGAGTGATGTTAAGACTGAAGGCTTCCTCAAAGCTCGAGCAGATCGTGCAATGAGCTGTGGCTCAGCCTGCTGTGCCCTGCTAGTGAGACATCTCGAAGCGCTAACCGCAGATCGCATGGTGGCTGCGATGAAGGAGGTTCTGGCAGGTGCTAGAGTTCTCATTGCAACAACGACAGAAATCGATAAAGTGCCGGATGGCGTGCGGGGCCTGTTCACGCACGAATTGGAAATGAGTGCACCAGACGAGGGCGAGCGTGAAGGCATCTTGCGCAGCATAATTGAAAGTCGTGGCGTATCGCTTGCGCCAGAAGTAGAACTGAGTGGAGTGGCGATCAAGACTGCTGCTCTCGTCGCTGGCGATCTGGTCGATGTCGTCGAGCGGGCCATCCTGGCACGTGAGGCGCGACTTGAGAAGCTCTCGCAGAAATCTTCTAAGGATGATACAACTGTCACTGTTCGTGACATTCATGTTGCGGGAGGCTCAGCTGCGCGGTCCTTGATCAAGAGTGACTTTGAGCTTGCAGTCGATGCGGCTCGCAAGAACTTTGCAGACTCGATCGGCGCACCAAAGATCCCCAACGTTACCTGGGATGACGTCGGTGGTCTGAACAACGTCAAGGATGCTGTCCAGGAAACCATCCAGCTGCCATTGGAGAGGCCGGAGCTGTTCGCCAAAGGTATGAAGAAGCGCTCCGGTATTTTGTTCTACGGACCACCAGGCACAGGCAAAACGCTGTTGGCCAAGGCCATCGCTACGGAGTACAGCCTCAACTTCTTCAGTGTCAAGGGACCAGAGCTGCTCAACATGTACATTGGCGAGTCCGAGGCCAACGTACGCCGGGTCTTCCAGCGCGCGAGAGATGCCAGGCCTTGCGTCGTATTCTTTGACGAACTCGACTCGGTAGCACCTAAGAGAGGCAACCAGGGCGACAGTGGTGGTGTGATGGACCGCATCGTGTCGCAGCTGCTGGCTGAGCTCGACGGCATGTCTGGCGGAGATGACGGCGGCGGCGGTGTCTTCGTCATTGGTGCAACCAACAGACCGGACCTGCTTGACCAAGCTCTTCTTCGACCCGGACGCTTCGACAAAATGCTTTATCTTGGCGTTTCGGACACTCACGACAAGCAGCTAAAAATTATGGAAGCCCTGAGCAGAAAGTGAGTACTGGTCAATCTTCTACAGGTATGGTGCAATCCAATTACTAACGCGAAAACTACAGGTTCACTCTCCATCCTGAACTGCAGCTTTCTTCGGTCGCAGAGAAGCTCCCATTCACGTACACAGGTGCCGACTTCTACGCCCTATGTAGTGACGCCATGCTCAAGGCCGTCACGCGGCAAGCCACATCTGTCGACAGCAAGATCCGCGCGCTCAATGCGGACCCCTCGGCGATGGCCGGGCGGCAAAACCCGATCTCGACTGCTAACTTCTTTGACCACTACGCGACTGCCGACGACATTGCAGTCATGGTCACCGAGCAGGACTTCCTGGAGGCACACAAGGAGCTCATACCGTCCGTCAGCGCGGGTGAGCTCCAGCACTACGAAACCGTGCGGGCCATGTTTGAGGGCACAAAGGACAAGAAAGCGATCGAGCAGCCGCAGCCGCAGACGAATGGCCACGGAGCGATGCATCAAGAGCAACTGGCAGTGCGCCCTGCGTCGAGGAGCAAGTCCAAGGACAAGGGCAAGGGCAAAGGCAAGGCCGTTGCGACAGGAAGTGATGGAGAGGATGATGGTGATGACCGGTTCGCCAGCTATGGCGGCGGCAGCGGCGGCTCCGACGGCGCCAATGGAGCCGGAAAGGGAAAATCCGTGGCCAAGTTCCAGAACGGAACGGCCAGCGATGATGAGGGACTGTATTAAGCACAGAAGTGGAAGGGCGTTGCTGGCATCAATTATACACCATTTGGCATATGCATTAGCATTGCTATTTATATAAAAACATAACAGGGTGGTTTCTCATAATGGAGCGCATTCGTAGTGCTCGAGGTGGTGTCAGATCCTGAGAGAGAGAGAGAGAGAGAGAGAGAAAGGTCCGTTTAGTCGACGTCTAGCGAGGCCATGCGCGTCCAGGGCCTTTGACACATACACCTTCACAACATCACTCGTTATCATCATGCGCGGTGGCAACTGTTCCCTAGCATAAAATAGCATCCTAAACATCCCCTCATACGCCGTAGTTACAAAGCGATCGATCAGCCCTGGTCCGGACTCACAGCTTGGCAGGTTTCCCCGATCAGAGAATTAAATTGGTCTAGAGGATGATAAACACAGTTATCTCATCCAATCACATGGGGATATGGTTTAGTGGTATAATACTCCCTTAGCATCTCTGCGGATTCCCCGCGGATTTATCTTGGGAGTGGTCCAGGGTTCGATTCCCTGTGTCTCCATCAACAAGGGGGTTAGAGTCCTCTGTTATACCTTTCTTTTTTTTCCTTTGCTTTGTTTTTCTTTGGCAACTGGATTTGAACAATTTTTATTATCACAATTATCCTAACTAATCGAAATGTTTAGTCGCTTTGTGCGTGTAGTAGAGTTGTTGAGTTAATGTTCGAAGCGGCTCGTAGGCCGCTGGGTCTCTGGAAAGGTTATTCTAGTTTTGCCCGGCAAGGGAATATTCACGAAACTCTTAAATGCTTTTTTTTTTTTTTTTTTTTTTTTGCGTGTCATCAGTAGTCGTGTTGTCCTTTTTTTTGTCTGAAATCTTGAATAGCTACGTTTACTCCCCCGTTTGTTGCCCGCTGCCATTAGCCATCCCTTTGCGGACGACAAGAGGTTTATAAACTTAGAGGTTCACCGTACTTCGTAAGAGAACGTCCACGATTTCTACGGAAGCTGTAGTCACAATTTCCAAAGCAAATCACACCACTGTGAGCCATCTCGTGCTCTAGAAGCGGCGCATGTAGGCAAGAACTATACGGCTCACGTGGTAGTGCAAGTAATCATCTCGGTTCTTATGCCGAGGATCTAGCTTTTCGGCTCTTCTCTCGGGTTCAGGTTGAAGGTCAAGTACCATTCGTTCGCTTAGCACAATACTAGCCTTATGAGAGTTTGGCATCGGCACCGGTGGCATGGTTCACACGGAATTATGGGATACATCCATCTGCGGATGAACAGATTTCACAAGGTTCCTCCTCTCGGCATCACAGCGCGAACTGGTTTCAGATTAATGAGTTGTCTCTTTAATTACAAGGAAATACTTAGTTGGGCTCGGAAAATGTAGATCGCTTTAAAATCAAGGCCTCTTCCCACGATACTCAAAGACCGCGTGCTTGACTTTCTCTTCATCCGGGCTCGGGTCGTTACTGCGACTTCGCACCTATGGCCGCAGGTGCCGTTGTGCCTGCCTTCTTCACCGCATCCTTCTTGGTATCGTTCTCCTCCTCCTCATTGGAATCCTCGTCGGAATCCTCATCACTGTTCTCGTCCTCCTCTTCATCGGAATCTTCTTCCTCGTCCTCCTCCCTTGCCTTCATCTTCGCGTCTATTGTCTTAGGTGCTTCCTTCTGGGGCTCTTCCTTCTTAACATTCTCCTTTGATTCCTTGCTTTCCTCTTCTTCACTATTGTCGTCGTCGTCACTGTCCTCCTCTTCGGAATCGTCCTTGTCTTCCGCATTCTCCTTGGATTCCGTAGGAACTGCCTTCGCAGCGGCCGTTTCGACAGCAGCAGCTCCCGCCAGCGACGTGGTACTCGCTGCCCGTTTCCCAGAAGTCGGGCTCTGAAGGCTAGCGGCGGCGGCTGCCGAGCCAGCCTTAGCAACCGCAGGTTTCTTCTCGCCAGGAGAAATCTTGAGATTGCTGACGCCCTTTGTTACTGCTTTAACTGTGGTAGTCGCAGACTTGGTCGTAGTTCCAGCCTTCGCATCTTTCTTTATAGTAGGCTTGACCGCAGATCCCGTCTTCCCGTCCTTCTTTGCAGCAGGCTCGTCTTTCTTGTCCGCAGCCGCCTTTTGTTTGATGGGCTCGCTCTTTTTTTTCGCAGCAAGCACGTCCTTCTTGTCCGTGACGACTTTCTTTGCAGTGGCGGGCTCGGCCTTTTTGACTATGGCAGCCTTCTTTGTAGCAGACTCATCTTTCTTTGCAGTGGCAGAGTCGGCCTTTTTGACTGTAGCTGTCTTCTTCGTAGTAGGTTCGTCTTTCTTGACTGTAGCTGCCTTCTTTGCAGCGCCAGGCTCGACCTTCTTGACCGCAGTTGCCTTCTTTGTAGTTGACTCCTTCTTTGTAATCGGCTCCTTCTTTGTAGTAGGCTCGTCCTTCTTTGCAGCAGGTTCATCCTCCTTCGCAGCAGGTTCGTCCTCCTTTGCAGCAGGTTCGTCCTCCTTCGCAGCAGGTTCGTTCTTGTTGTCATCATCCGCCTTCTCGGTAGCCGTCGCGGCAATCGTTTCTGCTGCAGCCGTCTCAGACTTGGCCGCGCTGGCACTGCCTGCAGTCTTTTTGGCCGTCCCCGTGCTCGTTGTTGTCACGACGATAGGCTCCTTCTTCCTTGGCTGGGCCTTGAGCTGCTTGGCCTTCTGCGCCGCCTCCTCGGCGACTCCGCGCATGGGGTCGCTCTTGGCGGAGCCCACCGCCGGGTTCTGGTTCTCAGACTTGCCGGCGACGGCCGAGGCGGGGACGTGCGTCGCCACGGGGGCACCCACAGGCTTCTTGGTTATGCGCGGGACCATGGCCGCGGCCTGCTCCTTTGTCGGGATCGTAAACTCGTCGTGGTAGATCTTGACGTGCTGCTTGAGCTCGCCGTACTCGTTCCACTCCTCAATCTCGACCATGTCCTGTCCCAAGAATGTGAGCTTTCCCGTCGCCACATATACAGGTCATATGTCCCTCCTCTGTTCCATTTGGGGGGTCGCAGAGACTTACGCCGAGGGAATCCCTCCTGGAATAGCGCTGGGAGCTTGCGGACACGGCCCGAGGGGTCCTTGCCTGCACGGCGGCCCCATAGCTGGCGCGCCCGTGAGTCGACGGCTATGTCGAGGGCCTTGAAGGGGATGCGGTTAGCGCGGAGGATGGTCTCGAGTCGCGAGGTGGCCGTGAGAATGTGGGCCGAGCCGGCCGTGAGCGAGGTGAAGATGTAGAGGGCCGGATCGTCCATCAGATCAGGTGGTGCGTTGGCCGCCATGGCCGTGAAGGTTTGCGGGCTGTGCTCGAAGGTGGAAGGGGACCCCGGGCTCGAGTTGAGTTGGCTTGTCGTGGGAGTTGTCGTCGGGATCTGGCGTGCGGGTGGTCGCAGGACAAGGGTGTTACGTGAGAGACTGGCGGGCCAGGGCTGTGGGAGAGAGTCTGTCAGGCGTAGCGGGCTGGCGATTAGTGGTAGTGGTATGCTGAGGGCAGCATAGGAGAGAGACCTGGAGACTGTCGTGTTGAAGCTGTGTGGGTGCTGTCTGGCGCGTGACCGGCAGTCCAACTGTCTCGCAAAGGGATAAAAGGGGTCTGCGAACCCACCCGTCCAGTTCCCCACCTTGACGAGGAGTGCTCCTTCCCCACAGCAGCCACCGTAGCACCTGCATGTGAAGAAGCCGCTTCTCTGGCGGGGTAGCTCCAGAGTGAGCGGCTTCTTCTCCGAGCAACCTCTACTCCATAGAATCCTTCCAAGGTTTTCTTCAGACGGTGGTGCTCCCAGGATAAATTCGAAACATGCAGCCAAGACCATTGCATATCTCTATTAGGACCTCTTGCCACCACCCCTGCAGCACGCATCCTCCAGATCCCAATTGCCGGCGGCAATCGAAGCACCACCTGCCGCGTCACGCGGTCCCCTGGCACGGCTCACAGCAAGGCCTGCCATGCCATTACCCCCTCGACCACCACCAAACACGATAGCGAACGCGACGGTGGCGGCGGCGACAGCGAAAGCCCGAAAGTCCGCCTAGATTTATAGCCAAGGCTTTCCGATTGGTAGCGGAGCTCTCGCCTGTAGGAGTCGGCCCGGAATCTTTCCCCGTCCCTAGCTGCGCGGTTTCAAAAGATGCATGTTCGTCGTTATAGGCACAGAGTGTGGAGTAGCATGGCTCAGAAACCTCAGGGCTAGGCCGCCTTCTGATTCCTGCCTTTGGCAAGACAGCCCGATTATCGGCCTGTAGAGTGCTTACACGCCTCCTTGAGATGTGACCTCTGCAGCAAGGCGAGTGAAATCCCGGCCCTCGCATATCGGCGATGCTATCCCGTGGTGGCCTGACCACTGCGCGCCGATACTAGCCGCTGTTCCCAACCGGGTCGCGAGAGCACACATGTTTGTCTTGTAGGCATGTCAGGGTTCTCTGCGCGCGGACAAGCCGCGTGGGCATTGCTGCCGAGTCTAGAGTCAGCATCGTGTTGCATCTGTCAGGTCTGTCGTTGGCGGAGGCCGTGCAGACGTGCGGTGCATGGCGGGAGACTGTCCGCGGGACAATGCCCTGCAACAGGACACGCGACCAGACCAGGGCTGTACCGCAGCGCCGGTGCAAAGAGTTCGAGGCGTTCCTGAGCGTGCGGCGCGTACGGCTGTACACAGCCCCCGCGCAAGCACGAAACATGCCGGCCGGTCGTGCACGGAGCATGGGAGTACCCGGGAAAACAGCCCGACGCATGGCACCCCGTGGAAGTGGCACATGCGGCAGTTGAGAATGCCAAACCTTAAAGTGACGGATCCTGCAGGCGGTCCCGGAGCAATGTGTGCCATGGGTACCCCTGCCATCTGCCGACTTCACCTCGGCCGGGGCCTGCATCGCCATCTAATCGCCGCGTCGCAACGCGTCTCATCTGTTTCTATTTGCATGGGTTGCCAGATGATAGCCTGCCCGGCCGGTACATCACTTTCCAAATCCATCAGATGGCCTCTGCCCTCCCCAACCTTCGACCTCGCGTATGTCCGGCATCCTGGTCCCTGGTGTGGCTTTGAGTATTGACTAGCTGTAATTCTCCGCGTTGTCATTGGCGTCGCGACATCTTCTGGAAAGCTTGCCGCGTGGCCCTGATGGCAGATCGTGTGTATGAGACCACCGTGTCCGCTGGCTGTGGCACCTAGCATTGACGTTCCGTACTATCAGTATCATCAAAAACAATGTCTGCCTCGTATTGACGCCAAAAAAACCTCAACCAATCTTTGGACTCAAGTCTGGGCAGGGCCCTTGTAAAGTGGACTCTTTGCCTGCATACCCAGGTCGTTGTATCATAGGCGCCCCCGAGTCCCGAATCCTGATGGATGTTCTAGATGAACTGGCTTTCACTACTAGTCTAAACAGGGGCACCGCAGTGTCCTCCCCGGGTCCCTGGCGATGTGCATTGCATGCAGTCTCGCAAGGGTTTCTTGCGGGCTCCATCCTGGTTCTCCTTACCAGATCACAAGCCCGAACCAGCCTGTCGGACTTTGACCGGGGGAGACCGTGGTAACTGCCGGATCGGCTGGGATGTTGGG